TCCCTGGCCAAAAATAGTTGCGGACAGGACGTCATAAATCGGTAAAAAATGTAACACAGAACATTTCCTAAAAATGCATTCAGATACATTTGTACATGTCTACAGTTGCATGTATAATTGTTATTTTAACTTTTAGCTATGTGTAGTTATGTTTAGTGTATCGGGTGAGAGGACGTCACCTGGCGACGTCTTTTACACGTGCATTCATAGTCCATCATGACCCTCTATGAAATCCTTGTTAAATATGCAAAAGCTGCGCTTAATCCTCGCATGGTTAATACTGCAATAATTAATGTAGTTGCCCATTAAGTTTTTAAGAGGTTGTGAAGAAGACGTCCACTGGCGTCCTTTACACGTCTAGTCAGGCTGTGAATACTATACGTCCACTGGCGTCTTTTGCACGTCTAGTCTAGCAAGACAGAAAAAAATTATCAGGATTTATAATTCTTTATAAAATACACGATTTATATACAAATTAAGATATATTTACTTTATCTTGTTTTTATAAATTATAATCACAAAATGCACAGTATAGTCAAGTGATTGCAAAGCCACTGCATTTTAGTCATTATTTTAACCTGTTGTACCTGATGTATTCGTTGTTATTTTTTTATGGAATGTATATACATGTAAAACAGAAATATACCCGGTCACCATTTATGTCTGAGTTGGATGTAATTACCCAAACCCTCTGCCCAAACCATAAACTGTGCTGCCAAGATGTAGTAACAAAAGATCTCGCGATATTACAAAATCCTGCGATGGGATTATCTCGCGAGATGTTAACGCGTTCTCCCCATAGATTCTGGAACTTTGAACAAACACGAGGAGAGGAGGAAGTTGTGTCGATATATTATTAAAAATCTACTGTTGGGTAAGTACATTTTGTATTAGATTAACGTGCTTGAGTTTTACTTGTGTGACATGAATGAACCGAAAGAAATTATGCCCACATTGTCAACTGAAATTTACTGAGTTTGGCTAAAATTAGCCAGTAGGCTAAAAGTAACTTTGAACGTATACAACAACGGTATACCAAGTATATTGTTTAATGATACAGTCATTACTGTAACTTATTAATGTAGCCTTTTGAGAGTTTCTTTCAGAAAGTAAATTATCTGAAATGGAATGAAATGTTTAGCTGGATTTTAACATGTATGTTTTCAGTAACTGCTTTAAAAATAAAAGCAGAACATATTTTATACAATAAAATAAAATGTAATGCATGTTGATTACCTTTTTCTAATGTGTCATTCATGATTCATTCATCTTGTTCCATGTTTTTTTTAAATTTAGCTGTAGACCATAAAAATATTTTGAAAATAAGTGCATATCATTTACCTCAAATTTTAATTTAATAACAATTTTATTTATTTAAATATATATATATTCTCTTCCCTTAGATGCTGTGAAGAGGTGGAGCCCAAATGCTACAGACACTGAAATTGATGCAGCAATGGCAGAACATCTGAAACACGCTCCAGGAACAGCTGGTGGATACAAAAACTGAGCCAAACAATGTGTTTTTAAACGGATAGTTTCCCCAAAAATGAAAATTGTCATAATTTACTCAACCTCATGTTTCAAACCTGTATACCTTTCTTCTTTGAATTTTCATTTTTGGGTGAACTATCCCTTTATATAATAATTCAGTATTTTGTAATTGGTATTTTAGTTTGGCTAACAAAAGTTAAACATTGAAAAAATATTAAGAGACATTTTGGCTGTTCAAGATCAATAAAATGTGCTAAATCAGAACATGCTTCTTTTTTTCTTATGTCCACAAATAATGTGTTCTTGTTTGTGATGTACACTGATTAAAACGTTGTATTGACGGTCAGGTCTGACTGGACCAATTTTGGACCTTTTTAGAACCTTTGTCAAGATGTGTAAACTTCAAGACTTGATTGCCTTTCACGAAGTTACACAATATGTGTGTGATTATTTTAAATGCAGGCTTATATACACTTAAATTATGCAGCAACACATTTAAACACACAAATGACGACGCATTTAGACGTCCAGGGACGCGCTGAAGAGACGTGGAATTCACGGCCAGAAGAGACGTGGAATTCACGGCCAGATGACGTCAAAGACGTCGGTTCAACTTTCATTTTGGAACTATTTTTCAACCATGACGGGACGTGTCGGACGGACGTCTTTTCAACGGTCATTACACGTCCAAATGTTTGCTGGGTCGCTTCAGTCGACTACCTTTGGCTGAACTGGCCAATGTAAAGGCTTAGGCCACACCCATTCTGGAGGGCTCTGACACGCCAGGGCGCGAAGCAGCCTTATTGGTTCTTGCGTCTGAGCCGCCTCGCCATAGGTTCGTGCAGTTGCCGCAGCACATCCAATGACCGCACTAGCCGTTCATCTGTGTCTGCTGTGCAGCTGCACTGCGTTTTAAAAATTTTGCCTTCAATATTCCACATTTTTAAAACAGGGCTCCTCCTCCTCAATATCTTGTTAATATCTTGTCAGGCTTGTCAATATTTCTATCCCTTGCAGCAGCTCTTATAGACTTCTTTCCTTCCTTGACCTCAGCGGCTGCACTCTTCATCTCCTCGAGGGGTGTTTTGCCCCAGGTTGTCTTCCTGGTGTATTACCTTGGCATGATGGCTTTTCTACAATGTTTATGACATTAAAAAATAAAACATATGTAATGTAATATTACATTAAAATATGTTTAAGACTAAACTTAACTTGTGCCTCATGTCTCACTTTACCCCACAGCATTTGTCTCACTTTACCCCAATGCCACATTTTAGAAAAAAACGATCTCTCTTAGTAATTCAGGATACTTTTCAGCTAGCATCATCACATGGTTTTATATGTTAATAGTTCATCAACATGTATGATATAAGTTTTTCTACCTGAATCAATTTGCTTTGGCACAACAGTTGATTAAGTTGACAGCAAGAAAATTTACTTTTACATGCAAAAAAAATATTTTTGTGAAAAAAACATGCTTATCACAGCATCATGAGGTCCTCTCCTTCATGGCCAAGGGGAAATGGGATGGGCTTGAAAACATAATGGTCACATGACCACAAATGTGTTCAGTTGACTAGATACAGGGGGTGTCTCACATTACCCGATGTCTCACATTACCCCGCTCTCCCCTACTATACTACACAGGTTAGAACATCATATCAGTACAATATTGAGCATACATGTCACTTAAAACCAGCGCATGCGAATTATAATCCAGAGATCGACACTGCGCATGCGTATATGACGTCAGCAAAACACACCTCCATCCAATACGTATTGGACCATCCAGCTACGTCATCGTGCTACAGGCTGCAGCGAGGGGTGTCTCGAAATCACAGGCAAATCGGTGCTCGTTCACGCGAGTGACAATCACGCAGTGTGAATGAGCAAAGACGCGATCTGAGAGAATCGCCGACGAGTCGCCGACCCCCGTGAGATATTTGGCATGCTAAATATCTGGACCTGTCGGCGATTCACAATCCTGCTGTGTGAATGTGTTCTGACTGAAAACTACATCGGCGATGACCGACAGCCAATGAGAGAGCAAGATACAGGGAGGAGGAGGAGCTATAGACCAGAATATCAGTATTTTAATAGATAGGCTTATATTTACAATTATATCAAACATAAACAAAGCACAAACATTTGCATGACCAGCAGCAACAGCAGGACATTTGCAAAATTATTTATTTACCCCAAACTCTCTTTGCAAAACACAGTCCTTGCTCCCCTTGTCTTCCCAACCATTTCCTGCATAAACTGTTTATATTTTTTTTTTTTCATTTTCGCTACAAATCAGTGCACAGACAATTTGTAGGCTATCATTTTTAATAACAAATTCAGTGTCGCGCGAGAACTCCGGTCTCACGCACGCATGATCTTCCGTTATTTCCGTATCACTTCTCGCGTTTGTTTGGTTGTGAAACGTAGTTTGCGGACCAGGCAGAAGTTGTCGGCGATTCTTTCTTTTGTAAAGTCATGCAGTGTGAAACCTCCTGTCGCCGATCCATCGTGCAGTGTGAACACAGCAGCAACTGAATGTTACCCCAGATAGTCATGCAGTGTGAAAACAACTGTGACCCGATTATTTTGAAAATCGTGCAGTCTGACCTCGGCATAAGGAACACCTGTGCAATAATTATGCTGTCTAATCAGCATCTTGATATGCCACACCTGTGAGGTGAATGGATTATCTCGGCAAAGGATAAGTGCTCACTAACAGATTTAGACAGATTTGTGAACAATATTTGAGAGAAATAGGTATTTTGTGTACATAGAAAAAGTCTTAGATCTTTGAGTTCAGCTGAAGAAAAACGAGGGCAAAAACAAAAGTGTTGCGTTTATAATTTTGTTCAGTGTAAATAACTGCTATAAAGATGTTTGTTTTACAAGTTTATCATTTATATATAGAAAAATCCTGATCCTTCAGCAAACAGTGTATATGAATTCTCAAAACTTGAATGGATTCCTTTAAAGTGAATGTTTACCTGTCAAAGGTAAATGTTGGAATGAAGTCAGACCAGCTACACAGATACAACAAAGCTGATAGGAGCAGCCAACTTACCATTACATAATGTAAAAACGATCGAATAAAACATACTGTCACAAAACCCAAGAGGTATGACGTGCTCTTAGAACACCATCACATATGAGTTTATCTTAAATGCAAATTAGCAGCCAATTACATACTTCATGAAACTTCCTATGCTCTATAACACTGTAGGGCTGCTTCTGACAAATGTACCTCATTAAGAGCATGTAAACAAAAATAATAATAGATTTAAAAAAAAATGATAATCTAAATATGTTGTGTTTACAAAGTAATTGAAATCACATGATGTCAGTCAATTGCATGTCGTCATTTAGACATTTAGACAGGAAGGATATATACGTAAGGTAGAACCCAATCTTACAAAAACTTTACAAACAGACACAGATGAGTATATGGAAATATAATCTAAAAGACAAATTCACAGACATAGATACTCCTTAAAAAAACTAACCTTTTGTCTGTCTGTGTCTTTTCCCGAATGTTTTTGGTTTTTTGCCTCGGTTCTCTTCCGCTCCGTAAGTGGCATATAATAGACCTTCAGTTATGGAGTGGAGACCTCCTGGAAACAGGTGTGTCCGCATACAAACAGGCAACACATTTAAGTTATTCAACACACACACCTGGCTGCCGATCCGACCAGTCAGACAAGTGCAGATTTTTAGTTTTAGAGATTTTAAGACTCTGATTTTCATCTACGTTTTAAACATTTTTAACATTATTAGGACTGACAAATGCTGTCCCGTGAGAATGGGGGGACAGCACTCAGAATAGGCAAACTGTGTGAATTCATTGTGTGATTTTACTAAAGCTAAAAATGTACAAATGTACAGATTTATCATCTTTCGTTGGAAAATTAAACAACATTTTATCCAAGTTTGATAATTGCCTTAATCTTATAAACAACTGAGAATATAGTGATCAAACTACATTCAATAAAAATCATTCAATAACTAATCCCACTCCATTGGAGCTCCAGAGAGGAGGAGCTGGACTAATCCCACTCCATTGGAGCTCCAGAGAGGAGGAGCTGGACTAATCCCACTCCATTGGAGCTCCAGAGAGGAGGAGCTGGACCAATCCCACCCCATTGGAGCTCCAGAGAGGATGAGCTGGACTAATCCCACTCCATTGGAGCTCCAGAGAGGAGGAGCTGGACTAATCCCACTCCATTGGAGCACCAGTGAGGAGGAGCTGGACTAATCCCAATCCATTGGAGCTCCAGAGAGGAGGAGCTGGAATAATCCCACCCCATTGGAGCTCCAGAGAGGAGGAGCTGGACTAATCCCACTCCATTGGAGCTCCGGAGAGGAGGAGCTGGACTAATCCCACTCCATTGGAGCTCCAGAGAGGAGGAGCTGGACTAATCCCACCCCATTGGAGCTCCAGAGAGGAGGAGCTGGACTAATCCCACTCCATTGGAGCTCCGGAGAGGAGGAGCTGGAATAATCCCACCCCATTGGAGCTCCAGAGAGGAGGAGCTGGACTAATCCCACTCCATTGGAGCACCAGTGAGGAGGAGCTGGACTAATCCCACCCCATTGGAGCTCCAGAGAGGAGGAGCTGGACTAATCCCACTCCATTAGAGCTCCAGAGAGGAGGAGCTAGACTAATCCCACTCCATTGGAGCACCAGTGAGGAGGAGCTGGACTAATCCCAATCCATTGGAGCTCCATAGAGGAGGAGCTGGAGTAATCCCACTCCATTGGAGCTCTGGAGAGGAGGAGCTGGACTAATCCCAGCCCATTGGAGCTCTGGAGCTGGTCGTCATTTGACTCTGCAGTGAGTACAAATGGATGACTACATGGACTCATCTCAAGATCCCTCTTTTAACAGTTCATCTATTGCCAAAATTATGAATAAAAGATCAGTCAAGAATAGAAAATTATTGAAAATATTCAAATCAGCATCATCAGAATCAGAATGAGTAGTGTGCAAAAAAAATGTCTGTCAAAACCAACACGTTGAACGATGTTCACTAACATGGAAAGGTTTTTGAATTGGATTGACGTATATTCTCTTTAGCATGTGTAGCGGGTATTGAGAAGTGAATATTATTGTTAGAATTGGTTATTTCAGTGGTTCATGTAGCTTGTTATGGTGCAGTACCGAAAGACTCCAGCAGGGGGTGGGCGAGCATGGAGACTTATTATCAGGCACATGGTTCCCTTACCCCACTCATAATACAGAGATTGAGGGAAACGCAACAATTGTCTGTCTGTATTTTAATATTTCTATGTTCCCCTTTTCAGGGAGACTACACATGCAGTGTGAAGTATTTCACTAATCATTCTGATTCAATTTTAGTGAGTGAAGAACAAACTTATACTCGCGTGCGTTATGTATTATGCATGTTATCGTCTCTGACAGACAGCATGTTGAAGCCGCTCCGGCCACCATTTTCTCCCTGTTCTTGGAAAGCGATGACACATTCAAAACATCCGATGGTGTGGGTTTTCCTGGGAATGCGTTTACTCATGGACCTATGCTTCTTGTAAATACTACCATGTATTTTGCACGTTATTTTTGACAGACATCGATGTTGTGATATTCAAATGACGTGGATTTGAAAACAGATGGATTGTGAGGTAATAATTATTTATTTCTTAGCCGCCACGTACAGTAAAGTGATTGATGCCCATGAGTGTGTTATGTCGATGTTTTTAGTTCTAATATTCCAACCGACCGCCAGCCTAACTTTTTGACGGACTTGATAACATGCATAAAGGGTGAACTCTGTTTGATTTTTGGGTAATCATAAAATGTGCTATACACGTTCAACATGCTTTTTGTGTAGTTCATTATACTTATTTTACAGAATGAGGTTTTCGTGGCATACATTTCATTTTACTCAGAGACTGACATGTTTGGCTTGTCAAAAAGTTTTCTCGCAGGCCTATAACAAAAATCCTTTATTTAAACCCATGAAATTGGAGATCCTGTTGTAAATACTGAAAAATCACTTTTTAAAATTGTTCCATTACCCCTTTGGAATTGTTATCAAATCATTAAATTTTTGTAATTCATGTGCCCATAACTCCCTTTATCACTTGAGGCGACATCTCTTTTCTTCTCTTATGATTGTGTTTACTGGTGCAAGGGAGGGACTACTGTAACTCTCATGACATCACAGCAATAGCTAACTAAAACCATCCAATCAATGCACGGTTTACAAAATCAATTCCCGCCCTACATTCTTCCGCATTAAGCATTTCACCCGGATTTTTTTGTTATATTGATAACTTGGATATCTATTTTATACATATATATGTTTTACAAAGACTTTAAAAAAATAAATAATTATGTGTGTAAAATCACATTTCTGTGACCAGCCCAGAGGAGGAGCATTACAGCCCCTGATGGCTTGAATAATGAGAAAGTTTGATTTTCATCATTAATAAACAGGGACTTTGTACTTTGAATACACCATGTCAATTCAATTAGAAATGTTTTTCAATCACCTGTCTACTTCTGAGACATAATTGTCACAATGTCTGGTTTGGGGTTCCCTTGGTGTCCACTAGAGGTCTCTCTCCCTTATCGTCACCAACTCATCATGAACGGCAATTCCCATAATCCTTTGTCTGTACTCATCTTCTGATCATTGCACACAGCTGTTCCCACTCACATCGTTTGCACCTGGCTATTTATGCCATGTCTGTTTCTGTGTTTATTGTCTTGTTGCACTGCTCTGTCCCACTCTTGATTGTTTCTTGTTTTTGGACTGTCGTTTATGGATTTTGACCTTTTGCCTGGCTGGATTATGAGTACGGATTACCCTAATAAACTGCGCTTGGATCTTACCTTTTCTTGTGAGCATTACGTGACAGAAGGAATCCACCATGCATAGATCCAGCAGTACGGGGATTCGTATCCTTCCCCCTACCACCAAGGAGAAGAAGAGAGGAGGATCTGGGTCTCCTATGACATTATTTGAAATTTTTGCTATGTGCGCTCGAAGGACTGAGGAGAACCCTAACCCAGATGTCAAGTGGGAGGAGGAAGGTCCAATACTGCTACTAGCAGCTTCCCGGAACCCCCTTCCGCCAGCACAACGAATACCTGGTCAGCTAGCACTCCTTACTACAAACAATCCTTTGAGGGAACCCACCTAGCCATATTCCCTGGGACCCGTGGAGGCCGTAGGAGAGGACATGCCCGACACGGACCCTGACGCCATTCCCCACTTCAACCTCTGTTGAGCCCTGAACCAGTGCTGGCTAGTGGCTCAGACCCTGTGATGTCCAGTGGTTCCGAGTCTGGTTCGGGGGTCTCAAGCCCGGTGGTCCCGGAGGACCCGACTTCAGTAATCCCAAGCCCGGTGGTCCAGGAGGACCCGACTTCGGTGGTCCCAAGCCCGGTGGTCCAGGAGGACCCGACTTTGGTGGTCCCAAGCCCGGTGGTCCAGGAGGACCCGACTTTGGTGGTCCCAAGCCCGGTGGTCCAGGAGGACCCGACTTTGGTGGTCCCAAGCCCGGTGGTCCAGGAGGACCCGACTTCGGTGGTCCCAAGCCCGGTGGTCAAGGGGGATCTGACTTCGATGGTCTCAGATGTCCCAGAGCTGTCCACTCTCTCTGTCATGGCTCCAGTGGTGGCCATGAGGCTGCTGTACCTCCGCACGGTCGGAGACAGAGGAGGAGGAAGGCTGTCCGTTCACCTGGTCCAGTGGTTCCCGAGCCCTCATGTCCTGTGGTGCCAGAACTCCCTGCTATGTCCATGAAGACCATTCCTGAGCCTACTATTTCTACCATCAGTCCTGCCATGGCCAAGAGGCCTGTCTTCACCTTCTACGCATTGGCCGTTCTGCAGGCATGGAGGGAGTTCTGCCGGTCCAGAGACTGTTCACGTCATGTCTGCCGAGTCAGAGACTGTCCACCTGGAAGCTGTCCCTGAGACCACTGCGAAGGGCGAGACTGAGTCGGTTACTGAGCACGCCGCGGAGGTTGCTCTCGAGCCTGTCCCTGAGCACGCCAGTGCAGGAGGGCGAGCCGGTGTCGGTGCCGGTGCCGGTGCCTGAGCCAGTGTCGGTGCCTGTGCCTGAGCCGGTGTCGGTGCCTGTGCCTGAGCCGGTGTCGGTTCAGGCACCGGTTCCTGTCGGTTGAGCCGGTGTCGGTTCCTGTGCCTGAGCCGGTGTCGGTTCCTGTGCCTGAGCCGGTGTCGGTTCCTGTGCCTGAGCCGGTGCCGGTTCCTGTGCCTGAGCCGGTGTCGGTTCCTGTGCCTGAGCCGGTGTCGGTTCCTGTGCCTGAGCCGGTGTCGGTTCCTGTGCCTGAGCCGGTGCCGGTTCCTGTGCCTGAGTTTATGTCACAGTGTCTGGTTTGGGGTTCCCTGGGTGTCCACTAGAGGTCTCTCTCCCTTATAGTCACCAACTCATCATGAACCGCAATTCCCATAATCCTTTGTCTGTACTCATCATCTGATCTTTGCACACAGCTGTTCCCACTCACATCGTTTGCACCTGGCTATTTATACCCTGTCTGTTTCTGTGTTCATTGTGGATTCCTTGTTTGTTGTCTTGTTGCACTTG